TATATATATATATATGTGTATAGATATATATTTCACGTTGATTTTCACGTCAACATATCTTGGTGAAACGAATCGGTTAGCAATGCGTGATACGTAATTGCCTTGACCACGAACCTGCGTTCTCGCATTTCGAGTAGGAGTGCGGGAATACTACTGACTTTGTCACGAGAGAGTTGCAGATGTTGAAATTACGCTCGTTATTAGTGGTACGATGCAACGATACGAAATGCGTATCGCACATTGACTTACATGTGAGCTAGAAAAAGTGTCTCATTCGTCGATACTGCGATTTAGACGTCCATCTAAAACGGATAATTACGTTGAAATATCGAGATGGCAATTATATAGCTAACAATGGATGCTTGTTAACACGAGATAATAATAAGGAAACTGATATAATGAAATCCTTAGATTATAGATTCGCCATAATTAATATAATTTTGTAAATAACATGTTAAGTAATATATAAGGAGTAAACTTTTAAAATGTGTTTTGTTCAAAATTTATAATTTTCAGAAAACGGGAAAAAAAGCCACAAAGAAACCACGCTCTTTACAAAAAATAACCATTGCAATCAGTAAGATGTAAAATGTTAAATAAAATTGCTAAATAATTTCTAATAATGTTAAACAATTGCATTTTGTTTGTCTCTCTAGTTAAAGGACATAACGCACATCAAATGTCTTGATTTTTTTCAGTATATAAATTGATGTTGAGAAAATGTTTTTTTTCAAAAAGATTTCAATGTTAGTTTATAATATGTGTCTTTCATTTTTTTTTATTAAACATTATGCCATCTCTAACTTAAAAAATGATATTTTGGACAAAATTCATTTTGAAAGTTTATTTTTCATATGTAATTGACTCATCTTTATGATGTATATCATTTTACTTTTTAATATTAAGATAAATTTTTGATTTTTTAATACTGTCAAATATATAGATGTAAATATATAGATGTAAATTCATATTTTTTTATTTGTTATGCTTTTTACTTTACATTTTTTTTACTTTTTACAAATTTCGTTTTTTTTTTAAAGTACTTAATATATACTTAAATATATTGATTATATTAGAGATCGATATATTTATTTTTTTAAATCTGCTTTAAATCTGCTAAATAGAATTATTTTGTAAATTTATAAAAATACAATCTTTTGTACTAAACATAAACAATATTTTTGTAAATAGATATATTAAGATTAGACAATAGAATAAAGATTTGCTAAAGCCCGAAAAAATAATATATTATGAGATAAACTAACTAAATTATGATTTATCTTATTTATTTCTCTCGAGATAGTGCAATTTTTTAAAAATCTTTTATCGCAATATATATATATATATATAAATGCGCATACAAAATAATTATAAACGATAGTTAAAACATGGATGAAATAAAAATGCCAATATTGTTACAAATATTTCTAGCAATGTACAGTTCAACGATAACCAAATACGAGGGCAATAAAAATCAAATGTTAGTGCAACCGGGAACGGAAAATGGCAGAGATTCGAATCTCAATCAACCACCGAAGCACATGCCGGCGGAACAGCCATTAATTTGGCGTAATATCATTGTCATCGTCGTTCTCCATATCGTCGCGATCTATTTGTTTGCCACGCGATATCGCGAAGCGAAATTTTGGACCTGGATGTGGTGTACGTATTTACTAAATCAATTAATTTTCCATCATAATTTCATTTATATGTACATATATATGTCTCATATACATATATCATTTCGATACTATTTCGTTGAATATTGTATTGAATACATTGGAATCAGTGAAAAAAGCCTAATGTAAGCTCGTTTTTTGTAGTGAAATTTGTAGTCAGCATTTTTTTCAGCAGAAATACCAAGAGAAATTATTATTCATCGTACCTCTAATTTCACATTTCTAAATATTTCCAAATTTAGTTTAAGATTTTAGTGGACAAAATTTTAAATTAAAATTAAAATATGTTAAATTAAATTTCACTGAAATTAATTAAAAAATAAAATTACATTATTTCTTTGTACATTTCAAATTTAATTTAAAAAGAATCATTTGTTCTTAATTCTTTATAAACTAAAAATTATTTAATATTTTGACATGTTCCTATAAATATTTTTTCATTTTCTTATCATTATCATTAATACATGGTAAACAATGAAAGAAAAGATCTGATGTTGCTTCTGTTTTATTTACTTATTTTTTTCAGCAATCTTACATTTACTTTCTGCTGGTTTTGGCATAACAGCTGGTCTTCATCGTCTTTGGGCACATAGGAGCTATAGCGCCAAATTGCCACTTAGAATACTACTTGTTTTATTATATTGCTTGGCTGGTCAGGTAAGATTCTTAAATATTACAATCGTTTATATATCTGATCAGTTAATAATCTACATTAAAATTTATTATAATTTATCACAAGCTATTACTTTCAAAACTATTTCTGTTTGCAATAGAAATCCTCAAATGTGATAATATTGTAAAGTAACAGAACATTTTACACTATAGTATGTCAAAAGATTGAAGGAGATTACCTATTCCTCCAAATATTTAATAGAGCAATATTCAAGAGAGTGTCATTTTATCAAAAATAATCATCCAAAGAGATGATCCAAAAAGTATAAAGCTTGTAGTTTCTATTATAGTCTCAAATCGATATAATTTAAATAATAAATTGATTGATCTTTTTATGTAAGGTTATAGGGATATGCAAATGGAGATCTATTGAATCTGAAATTTTTTATAAATTTTATGGTGTGAATTAAAAATCGTACATGAAAGCAGTCTATAATTTTCAAAAGGACAAATCTTTATTTTTTTCTTTTTTTTTTGTACTTGTTGAGCGTTATATAATTTTCTTTCACCGAGTTGTTCAACATTGCAGCAAAAAGTGTTTCTTTTTACTCTGCTCATAGAAGATTAAGCAATTCTGAATTTTCTCTATCATATTACATAACATATACACCGTATACATACACAGACATACTGCGATAGAATCAAATAAATGTTATTTTACGCAATGTTATTTCAAATACGAAGGATATTAATGATTAAGATTATAATATTTTTAATGTGTTCGCCAGGATATATAGTTAAATAATAATATGTTAATCGTTTAATTTTTAGCCCCTCATTTAAGCAAAGTTTACACAAAAAGTTTCTTTATATAAAAAAAATGATAGGTGCAACTTAGAGAAAATGCACCTTTCCATTCTTTTTTAAAGGATATCCAACAATGTTCCGTTTGTTTTCTGTAAACAATCAAAGTAAAAAAGAAGCTTTTTGTCACTGATGAATAACTCAGTAAAAAAATCGTACAACATTCAACAAATATGCAAATTAAAGATTCACTTTTTCGAAAGCTGTAAATTGTTTTCATATGTAATTTTTAATTTACACCATAAAACTTTGTAAAATTTATAAACAATTTTGAGATTTCGAATCTCCATTTGTATCCATGTAACTCCGTAAAAAATCAGTCAAATCGTCTATCTTATCTATGTAAACTACTGATCTGAAAAATAAAGACTTCAAAATATATTTCTACATTGTGATTAATTTTGAAGTTATATTCTTTTGAAAATTGTCTACTTTTGTAGGCAGAAGAAGTACTCCCTTAATTTTTTATATATTATATTAAAAATATTTACTAATTAATTAACTTTAAAAAAAGGTTTTAAGAACATAAATTTAAATATTTCAATATTAAGATTATTTGAACCGCGTTAGGAACTTATACTTATATATAAAACAATAAACAAGTCAATGATTATGAGACTGACTACAATAAATGTCAAAATGTTTGAATAATCTTGATTTGTTTATTGTTTTATGTATATAAGCTCGCACTGAAACTTTCGACATTGAAAAAAACATCATCATTCGTTTTAATTCAATTCTAATTATTAAAACTTTTTCCTATTTCGCAGACTCATCCGTCTAAATGGCTTCGTGTTCATCGAACACATCATAAATACACAGATACGTGTGCGGATCCACATAACGCTAACCGCGGCTTTTTTTTCTCACACATTGGCTGGTTAATGATGAAACATCATCCAGCAGTTAAGAAATACGGTAAAAATGTGGATATGAGCGATATCGCTGCTGATTCCGTAATACGTTTTGTTGACAAGTGAGTTTAATAATTCGGTACGACACATTCTTTACTAATTTGTGATAAAACGTGTTCACGTTCGAAAAATGTAATTAATTACTATTGTAATTAATAATGTAATTAGTCGCATAATCGACTTACGATCGAATTTACCGACATATTTCAATTTCAATTATATTATCATCAATTGCCGTAACAAAATACGATCTTTTAAATATACTTCCAACAGAATCTATCAATTTCAAATCTATTTTTATGTTTTTCAAGATAAAATTACTCTCTCTCTCTCTCTATTTTTCCTTATTATTGTATATTATTTTTAATACATAGCATAAAAGAACTTGAAAAAAAATTTTTATTTTGCTACAAAAAAAAAACAACAAATATAAATGTAATAAAAAAGCGCAAATGAGAAAATGTCTAGAAAAAATTCTATAGAAATAATTTACAAGTTTCTTATTATATTCGTGATAAATGAAGACTTGAAATAAAAGGAGAGGAAACTTGAAGAGATGCTCGTGAAGAACAAAACCTAGATAATATTACACAATTTATGTTCAGAGCTGTAAAAAATAAACAGGAAATGGAGTTCGACGTTCGTAAAAAAAAAGATCACGATGATTGAGTTGAATTGCTCGCGAAATCGCTTCGTAATTATTCGCAGTGTTTGAAATTGCGTGACACGTTGTTCCCCGAGATGAAAGATTAAGTAGTAATCAATCAGTGTAAAGTGTCTCATCAAAGAACGGAATTGAACGCTTGTATCGCAATTTATTTTGATTTATACGGTTGGTTCACACGGTCATAAAGGAACGGGATGCGATTACACGTATTGGACTTTGCATATGTGTAACACTTGCTGAACACTAGAATGTTCTTTATTGCAGATATTACGCTCTGATTATGGTGCCATTGTGCTTTGTCCTGCCGGCTATAGTACCGGTCTATGTATGGAACGAAACCTGGGACATAAGCATAAGCAGCGTAATTATCCGCTATGTGTGGGCGCTGAATTCAACCTTCTCTGTCAATAGTTTCGCTCACTTGTGGGGCAATCGACCGTACAACAGGTACGCGTCAATCTTTGGAGATCATGTTTATACGATTATCATTAAAATTAATCAGCATAATATTCGGATCATACTCAGATATAAACAAAAAAATTCTAATTTAAAAAGATTACATATTTTGATACACAATTTAATGAGGATTTAATCGGAATGATCGAGAGATGTCTTTAGACTAAATAAGATAATGGTTTTTTTAGAATCCATAATCAATATTATTTCATATTACAATCAATATTATTTTTTTTAATCAATACTTCGATTAAAAAAATATATCAAAAATCATTTTTAACGCATTTCATAATAATTATTATATTATTCATAATTCTCATAACATTAAACATTATAAAATTATATTTAAAATCATAAAAAATCTTATAAAAAAAGTTCAAAGATTTTTATTTTATTTTGAAGAAAATTATTTTCTTCCACAGAAGAAATCGATATTATAAACAATAAGAAATTTTCTTACAGCCCCCTCCCTACTTTTTAAAGTAAAGTACACACAAATGTATTATAAACATGTTAAACATTCATAAATAAATATATTTATTAAATGTTGTATTTCATAGTTATAATATTGTAGAAAAAAAAAGTTGTAAAAAGTGTTATTTCGCTTAAATAATCTGTTGCATGATATTCCGGCAAGAGTTTATTTGTGTAGCCGATCTGGATCAAACGGCGAAAACTTCTTTTTTCTTTTTTTCTGTTCTAGAACTCTTAAGTCAACGGAGAATCCTGCGGTGTCTTTCTTTGCCATGGGTGAGGGTTGGCACAATTACCATCATTGCTTCCCGTGGGACTATAAGGCTGCGGAGCTTGGCTTCTACCGTCTCAATTTAACTACCGCTTTTATAGATTTCATGGCTTGGTTGGGATGGGCGTATGATTTAAAGACACCAAACGCCAAGCTCGTCGATAGACTTTGTGCGAATAAAGGTGATGGTACACGGGCCATCACTCCACCACTCGAGAGGTAGGATAGATCTTTCTAAAATATCAGATGTTCTTTAATAAAAAAGAATAGAAAAAAATAAAAAGAACGAGAGAGAATGTATCAAACATGTTGTTTTATTATATTTCTTAAAATCAACAAGTTGTACTTTTTTTTCAATTTATTACAATAATAATGGTCTAATTTATTTTTGTAAAACTTGATATAATAAATAATTTTGATAATTTTGCAGTCAATAATGTATCTTAGTGTATAATTCTATAAACTTCTGTATTTTACGAGTCTAATACAACAGCGTTGCACGTGGTAAATGCTTGTGTATAAATAAATGCATTTTATCATGTCGTATTTGATAGAATATTTTGCATTTGTTCACATGTAAATTATTTTAAATATATTGTATGTCAAGGTGTGTATGGATTCCATAGAATACAAATTTTATTTTTGATCTAAGTGTAATATTTCATGTTCTTTTCACAACAAGTTTAAAAAGAGTTATTATATTATTTATAACAAGATATGTAAACAGTTTATAATACATATATATGTACATATATATATGTATATATAAAATATGTACATATGCTTTAAAATGGTACTAAAAAATTGAGACAATCTCTTGAAGACAGAAGTTAAGAAGGAAAGATTAGCAATTTTTAATCGTATAAGAAATTTTAGATTTGAAACATCTAAATTTAAATTATATGTAATATATTTACTTTTTAGAAATATATACACAATTTACATTTTTTTTATTATTATTCTTATCCTTTCTACTGTTGATGAAAGTACATAAAATGAAAAAAGTGAGACCATCTTTTATAAATTAGATTAGCATCCTATTTTCTTTCTTGATTGAAACATTATAAATAATTGTAATCTTTTCCTACGGCTGTTTTGGCATTTCTTTCTTTCTCACTTGAAGTATATAAAATAATATTTTTAATCTTATTTTATATCCTATGCAATATTATTATTATTATCATATCTTTGAATTAAAAGAGTATTATGGAACATGACATAAAATATATACTTTATGTTGGGTTGAATATTACTGCCTTTGATAGATTGGATTAGTCTCAAATTTTCGTGGATGATATACATTGTTTAATTACGTTCGTTGGAATTATATTAATAATTTCTCATATACGTGAAATGCATGACATTTATATGGAAATATGTGGAATAAGCGGAAATATTATATTGATATTTCAGACATTTTCACGGATATAAAGAGCAATATAGATATATAAAAAGCTGATTATATATTCTATTATACAATTAAATAAATTTATCATTAAAAGCTATTACATATCATCAAATGATGCGTATAATAGCTCTTAATGATGTTATACGATTCCAATTGTTAACATGTAAATATATATGTGTTACAACTGATAATCAGATAAATAATGTATTTGTTCTTTTATAATAGCGAATTTAAAATTTCAATTTTATTTTATAACTATTCAAAAATTGTGTAAATAATTGTTTAATAAATTAAATTGATTATTTGCAACTTAATTCTGTTAAATAAGAATTTCTCTAACTTTTGTATATAATTTATGTTATTAGAGAGTTATTAATTTATCTTATTAAATTAATATATTTGGTTTTATTTCTGTGATTAAATAATAAATTGTGATAGTTTCAGTATTCATCTTGTAATAAAGTATTCATAAAGCGTAACTAAATGAAAGTTAGTTAATTAACGCGTATAGTATAAATTACAACGTTATGTATAACGTCGATTCTGGAATATTTTGCGTTTAATTTTAATATATTGACCTATGCGGCCATACATCGTATAAAATAGTTATTACAAAATCATAACAGTATCTTTAACTAATGGAATACATAAAATTTTTTACGTTGCTAATTAAAAAAAAAAAGATTTTAATTATATTAAAAATTCTGTCAGAATTTAAAGGCTCTATTTTTATAACAAGTAGATAGTTAACATTCTCCGCCGTGTCTCGCGCAAATTTTTGTCTTGGCCCGATAGAGCGGAATTTTAAACGTTGCGGAATTTTAATAAAGGCTTTGTCACACGATAGGTATCGGATGTATCACACGGATGGGGTACGCGCCTCCGTCGACCTCTGCGGTCAACGATTTATATACATAAACGCCCTATATAAGCAAAGTCACGTTTCACCGATAAAAAAAAAGAAAGGGAGACGCCAGAAAAGTGTTATCGATCCGGATAGCCTGACGTCGCGCCGTTTCACCCGGGGGTTAAATTTAGTATTTATCATCACGTATTCCGCGGAGTCTACAGGTAGCGCCTGCGCGACCCCGTCGTGTCGCGCGTCACGCACCCTCCTACCCCTGTACGTGCATATGCCTATCTACTACCTTATACATAGCCGGCATGCACGGCAGCGATGAAACATATTTACCTCTATACGGATGCATTACGAACATTCGTCTATTTTTGTCATAGCGACCTGTCGTGTATCGATCATTTCTCTAATGTTTCTGTAAATGTAACCGGGGACGCGCATTCCCGCGTTCTTCCGACGCGCGTCAACGTCCAAAATCTAGAGCGAGAAAAAAAATGCAGTCGCGTGTTTTCACGCGACAACGGTTGCACATGTGGGATACAAAAGGATTTTCTATGATTTTTATCACTAATTCAAGTATTACATAATATACTCCGTAATTATACTCGATTCGTACGGTTATGTTTTATACGTGTTTTTCAAAGGCATTACAAAATGAGATTTTTATTATTAATAAAATACATATTTAGAGATTATACTGATTACGTTTACACGGCACTCTTAATAACTGTAGTTATTAATCTGTTAAGAAACTCATTCCTCATCAATCATAGATATTCCTGTGAAAAATAGAATAATTATGATTGGCCAGTTTCATAATTACGGAATTGTGTTAAACTATGAATTAAGGGTGCCGTGTAAATGTAGTCAATAATATATACGTATATATTGTTTTAATAGCGATAATTGTTATTTCAATTGTTGAAAATGATATCCGTATGATTTAATTAATTTTATATACGTTTTTATTACATAGTAACAATGGCTTATAAATAGAATATAATTAATATCTGCAGTGGATATTCCAATATATTGTATGTATAAAAAGATTATATTCTCTTTCCCTTTCCCTTTTTTTTCTTACGGTTTTAATTTAAATTTCTTTTCCATGATGCCTAAAAATAATTTTGTAAATTACAAAATAAGCTTTATCTATATGATTTCGGATATTTTCAGTTTTACATATAGATAACTTATAAAATATTACAAGATTTTTCTGAGAAATAAGAGAGAGAAATATTATAATGAAATTTAAAAAGAATGCAAGAAACAACAAAATGATTTAAACAATATTGATTTCATGCCAACTACATATATGAAACTAAAATTTCTTCGATGCTATAATTACAAAAGACGTTCCAAAAAATCCTTGTGTAGAATTTGTATACATGTTTTTTAAAAAAACAATTTAAACTGTAAAGATTATTTGAGACATACTCGTATAAATTTGTTCGTATCATTGATAATACTAAATGTATTTAATTACAACATCCAAAATGAAAAACAATCGAAAGCGATACGAAGAGTCCAAGATATCTCGTCGACTCACCCCGTGTTACTGACCTGACCAGTTTTAGTTTCGTCAGGATAATACCCTCGCCGCCACCACAGTAAACACACCACCCGCCACTTTCGTCCCACGACACTGTGCTGGATTACGTGCACGCAGCCTGGATTTTAGGGTCCACGCCGGTAGTGGTGGTGGTATCGAAGGGCAAAAATATTCAGTCCGATTGGATTCAAGCGAGATCGTGACTTCGTACGTGACACGGGAATGTGATTAAAAAAGCTGTGGCACATACATAAATCAACATGAGATTATCGAGGATATATTTCGAACTTCACTGTAGCGTACGAGGGATGGAGCGGACACGACGATAAATGAACACATCGGAGAAGGGGAGGAGAGACACGCAAATGTGTGTGTGTGTGAATGAATGAAAATCACTGGCGGATCGGAAGAGCAGAGCAGGATAGATGACTGAATAAACAAACGAGCTAGCGGATACACTGGCCGGACGATCGTATCGTAAATAGGGGGTAAATAGCCACGCGTTTTCCCTCAAATGCGTGAGTGGACGCTGGTGCATGCGTATGGTACACCGTATGTACGTGTGTATCTATACGTATGTGTAGATATAATATGCGTGCAGTCCCGTGCCTGCGTGTGTCTATATGCACGTGTGCAAGTAGAAAGATGCAAGAGATCCTCTAACCGCGACGATGGTTTAGGGTGTACTGAACGTTACCCGGAGAGGGTTGGGAAACGGCGTAATGTCTAATCCAACATTACCTAACTGTATAGCAACGGCGCCATGGAAACGGCACGTTTGCGCCTGCGTTGGTCTGCGTCGCCGCCGTCGACATAGATCGACTTAAACTTTTTTGGCAATTCCGCCAGTTACTTCGAGAACTCGCAATAAAAGCCGCTATTAATTCTCTATAAGTGTCGCGTCCGAGAAAGAGAGGGGATAACTTTACAATTTGTCGCTCTCGAGGGTACGTGGTAGTGGTGGTTGGTGTGCGTTGACCCGAGAGGAATCGCGCGCGGAGATGGAGATTGAGGCAACTAATGTCGCCGCTGGAAGATCTTTAGTTAATTCGATTATTTGTTTAATTAAACATAATAAATTTTTTAGACTCTCGTAGTAGCGCGCATTTTTCTCTAGATAGATGAAGTAGACGCGTCAAAAATAAGAGTTAACTGTACAGTATCCTTGTTTTTTTTTTTCTAATAGTACACTATTTTACTTACCTTGTTACAAGAATATTAAATTTTTGACAACAATCTCGACTGAAGCGACATCTCGCGACATCTCTCATCGATGTGCATTCGTGGATGAAAGATATATATTTCTCGTTTTATGAAAACCGATAAGAAAATTATAGAATAACGTTTATAATATTTAATACAAATGAATTTAGCTTCTATAATATTTGATAAACAGCTCGAAATTTAAACTTATTTATTTTTTCTATTTATAATATTATAATTTACTACTTAAACTACTTTGAATAAAAAAGTAACATGAACAGTAAACAATTGCTGAAAGTAATACATGTTTTATCATAAGAAACTATATTATCAATGTAGTATAATAAAAAGTAAAAAAAATATTAAAAATATACTATATTGAACATACAATTATATCGCTGATAAATCGACAATGTGTTACTATTTTATCCTATGAGTCAGTTTGCATTATGAACCACCGATGAGATAATATTGATTTTCAAGATTTAATATAATTTTCTTTATTATTTAGGATTGTATGTGTATAAATAATTGTATTAAATATTGCAATTATTTACTGAAACATAGTTTTTAATAATTTTGATTTTGTTCAAAAAATGTAAATGTAATAAATATACAAAGATAAGTATGAGATTGTGAAAAAAGATATTTCTGTAAAAGATAATTACTTTATTAAAAGTAAAAAGTATAAAAAAAGAATTTCTATTTTTAGACGTTTTTATTTTAGACTTGAATAGCAGTCCTACACGGATCAATATTATTCGTTCTAAAGGTTAGAGACCTTCAGCTCGGGGTAAAATTAGAGAGAAGAACGCTGATATTACCGACCATATTTTTACTTATCCGATATAAATGTTTGGAATTTAATTTATATAATTAATTTTATAATTTACATTTGTTGTTCTATAAAAATGTATTTTTGACATTATTAATTTCTATATAAAAATGCGTTCTGTAATTATATGTGTAGATTTAACCTATCATTTTTTACAGGGTAACAAATTTTTTAAATTTATGCAGACTATTATTATTTTTTAATATTTGGTCGTTATATAAACAGATATAATAATTAAATGAATAATT